AGCCATGCTGGCTGGGGAATTCTGGGAGTTGAAGTCCACTCATCTTAAAGTGGCCAAGTTTGGACAACACTGCTGTAAAGGGTATGGTTTCTTGTTTGTAAGTGTGATGAGGAAGCTTCTTTATTTTACTGTGAATTATGAAATAACAGTGGTAGTTTTCAAAGATAATTTTTGGTAGCCTGATAATATTTTATTTGCTAACAACCTAGCCGCTTGATTGTGGCCGCAAGGCACATATGCAAAGATTTAATAATACAGGGATGTCTGCCAGGAAATGTGTCTATTTATCGTAATATTTGTCTCATTCCAGTATCCTTCTGAGACATCATGACATTTTGTAGCCAAAGGAATAAAGCAGTATCATAGTGGCAAGACAGCTTCTAGTTCCTGTAAAATTAGGTTACAGATGTTTATAGGAGCTGAGCCCAGTTGATTTTTCAAAGTCAGGAGATGAAAAAAGTAGGGGTAGCCTTAATTACTAAAAAACAAGTTCTGAAACAATTTAAAAACAGTCTTTTTCCAACTTGGCAACTTTAAGACGTATGGACTTCAACTTGCAGAATCCCCCAGCCAGCATTCTACCCTCCTCTTTCCCCTAGCAATATTGTGTTCATGTCAATTAATAATAAAGATCCCTTCTGATATTGTCTAGGTCACATGGATACATCATATTACTGGGTTTTGTTCAACTGATAATTGACTGCTGAAGATTTAAATAGACTCCATTGAAAAGCCCTATAATCCAGTGATCCCTGGTGATATAGCTGTATATTGTTTTATTGTTATTCATTATTTTGCTGAATAATTTAATAAATAAATTTATTTTATTAGACCTTTCTTCCTTGACTCAAGAGTCTGTGCATGACATTCCTTTCAGGTTTTGCACACAAACCAAGTAACGTGAGGTCATTTTAAAAGCATTTATCAAACTCAGTTGTGAATATGAAGGCAAATGACAGATTTGCAAATGTTATCCTGGAAGTGCAGTATCCTAAATCATGGGCATGTGCTTCTTTGGCAGTCATGGGTCTGCAAAAGATTGGGTGATGATGTCACCAGAGAACCCAGGACTTTTAGCCAATTTTTTTCATCTTTCAGAGGAAGATGAAACCTGCTGGAAGCTTAACACACATGGTTTCTTCCATTTGCCACCAAAACGAGATGGGAAATCATGCCTCTGTATTTCAGCGATGTGCTGCTACATTTTAGTAGTGCAGTCTTGAAGGACATCAGTGGCTGCAAAATGGGGTTTGGGAATTGTTGTGGGTCATTATAAACATTTGTAGAATCCCTTCTACAACTTTTATTCTCTTGTGGTTTTTGTAGAACACATATACTAATGCAGACAAATTGCTAGAAGCAGCTGAACAGCTGGCACAGACAGGAGAGTGCGACCCTGAAGAGATTTATCAAGCAGCCCATCAGTTGGAAGACCGGATACAAGATTTTGTTCGGCGGGTGGAGCAGCGCAAGATCTTACTAGACATGTCTGTATCTTTTCACACCCACGTTAAAGAGGTAAGCAAAACGATAAGTAACATCAGGATTTTTTCAGGTGCATGCCCAGAAACTCAAATATAAGCTTAGAGTAGCGAAAGCAGGGCTGGTATTTAACGGATCCTTAACAATTTGATATCTCCTGGGTCCCTTTTCCTAATAATGGACTTTGGCTGGTTTGCCTGATGCAAGGCAGCCTTTCAAACAGCATTGGTTATCTGGTTCATTAGCTGCTCTTTTAATTTCTTCCAATGACTCAAAATAAAGATGATGCTGGAAACTTGCCTTGCCTTTCAGCAGTCTGAATTCCATTTTTTTTTTAATTCAGAGAATTTCTAAAAGATGAGATGGGGAGTCCAGCATATAACATGGGTGTGCTGGCTCCCACATTGGAGATTTCATACCTAGTGGCTGCATAAAGTGTTACAAAAACTCAGACACACGGTTGCTCTCAGGGTAAAAAATACTGGAAAAGTCTCCCCCAATTTTGTTTCTTTAAAATAAAATAAAAGCAAACAAAAAGTGGTCAAAATAACCGGGCGGGGGGAAGAGTATTACATTTTCTTTTATGATGCCATGTTTCCACGGATTGCTAAATAAGTGTCATAGTGAGAATTCATACAAAAGTATGGAGAATAATTACTCTTAACTTTTTGTTCCAGCAATAGATGGAATATTTCTTCTTTAGGAGAGAGGTTTTTATTGTTCTGTATTTTATTAATGAATTTAATGAAGAAGAGAAAAAAATAGCTTCCCTTTCAAAATCATTGTTCCTATTCCTCTTGTATTGCTGGGTTGTAAATTAGGCCATTTTCAAAATTGAAAATGCCCCCTCCAGCACTTTAAGCTGTTACCCCATTATAAAGCGACTTCCTATCTATCATTATACTTCATTATTAATGTAACACATAAATGGTAAGTTTGGCTCTCAGTCAGAATTTTCTTTTCTTCTTACGTAGTATTACTGGATTTGTCATACTAGAAAGTCAAGGGAGGTCTAAAGGATAGCTATACATTCATGAGTAACTGGAAGTTATCTCCACAAAATGGTTTGCTCAGCTGTTGGCTTAATAGGAGTATTCAGCTCTTTGATAGGCAAAGACAGGAGGCAACAGAGGGCATGGCCATTACCTGTTGCCAAAGGTGAGGAAGAAATAAATGGAAAGCATGTAACAGAATACAGTTCAATTGTTCAAGTGGTTACCCAAGTTTGCTTTTTCCTCTCCCTCTTTCCTTTTGGGTCATATCATATTTTTTGTTTGTTTTTGTTTTTGTAAGATTGCTTTTTATTTATCTCTGAGATGCTCTGGGAGCTCTTTAGGCTGAGGAACAGAGTACAAATGCTTCAGATAAATAAATCTTACACCATTCTGGTCTTGGGTTCCTGTTTTACAGTGTTGCTTTTGTATTATGAATGAAACATTTTGAAGCCAAGATAGGTAGGCAGGGTGTTACCTGTGACGTTTTATTTCACATGAAGAGCCCACTGATCCTTGGGATTTGTTTTACTTTATTGTTTCAAAATAATTTTTCCTCAGGCAACTAGGTGTGCTGGCCTTTAACCATCAGTTGCCATCGTTCCAGGATACCTCTCAGCCCCCATCATATCCAGAGGCATTTTTTGGAACGTGAGTCAATGATTGGAGGCCCTTGGTATTGCTTTGAAGTGTTTCCAGAAATACTAGTGAGCGGGTTAGTTTGGTGATAGCAGTAGGACACCCAGGGGAATATTGGAGTCTTTTACAGTGGGAGTAAAAAAAGTGGTACAATTTAACAAGATTTGGAATTGCAGGGACGCAGGAGAACAATAGGAGAGATTAGTAAGGCCTAGGGCTACTAGACCTGGGCTGCAAAAAGACAGATAAACAGTAGATGGCAGCCAATGAGTAACAAAAAACTCATATTCTGCTGCCATGTTGTGATCATTCAGCACTTTGCAGCCCCGATCTGGTAGCCATAAGAAAATGAGCAAGATGATCCAGTAAGGAACATGAAGCAGAGAATGGGCTGTCTGTCTATATTTTGGGCATGTGAAACAGTTTTCAGAGTGGGGGATTTTGAGTCAGTGTGCCTTGTATGCTAGGAGACTGAGACGAGAATCACAGAGTTTAAAGCAGTGATTTTAAATGTGTTCATGGGAGTTTGTGAATGTGTGCAAGAAAAAGAGAGAGATTCAGTGGAATTAAATTGTAAATTAGTGTCACTCCTTTGAGGTAGACCAGGTCAGGAAATGGACACTGCAAGGACTGCTGGAGCGTGGCACTGTTATAATGAGTACCTGTTCAAAGATGTAGATTGTGCTTCAATTTTGAATGTACTTGCAACTAACTCCACCAGGGAAGGGTTGACTGAAAGTAGCTCAGGCAGCAATGGAGATCACCAGCTATTTGTAACAGCAGAAGGAAAGGATCTTGAAACGTTTAAAAAGTAGCCCTTGAATAGACCTTTAAGAGCAAAAGATACCGGATACAGTTAAATGAGTCATCATTTGGGGAAGTCACCAGGGACATACTGGTTTCATGCCTGGCGTTTTTCAGATACTTCTCTTCGCAGAGAACTGTATTCTGTTTAGAAATTGAAGAAAGATAAATTAACACTAATAAGTCCATGAGAGCGTTGTTCATACCTTCTTGGAGAGAGGGTGACAGTAAGAGAGAAAATATTGAATTTGGCTCAGAAATATCTTGTGAGTCAAATGTATATTCATCCATGAAGTTCATAAAATTCTGTCTGGGACCTCTTCCAGCCTACGTTCATCCACAAAGTTATATCGAGGATAATATGGAAAACCCGGTGTAAACCTGTAAGATAACTGAGGAAGCTGTCTGTCAAAATCCATTATGTACTGTATTATGCTCTGCATATGCTAGAGCCAATGTTTATGAAGTATGGTATTGGGTAGTAGTTCAGTGTTTGATATTCTTATGGCTTAATTTCCTTTTGTGTTGCTACATCCTCCCTAGATTTTGAGTAGCTGCCTCACATACCACTAAACAGCATCGCTGAATTTGGGTGCAGTCTCTTTACAAATGATCTCTAGTTACCTAAAAGGATTAGAACTGGAAGAAAGAAATGAATGAACAATACCTGAGAAGCTATGCACTGAAAACTTTAGTTAAATTTCAGGAATGAATTATTTCAAAATGAACATCCCTTTTCTGTTACGGTGTTGCACTTAATGGCAAGCTGATTGAATATATATCCATATTTTTAAAAAATAAGCAAAAATATTGAACAGTGCAGGCAGAAGCATATATGAAGACATACTGTCCTATCAGCTTTCACATCGCTTTCTCCTTTTGGACCCACTTCCTTTTTTCCTGGCCATGCCCACTTTGACTCCAGGCCTCCTCATAGCGCACAAGACTAAATATGGCTATCAGTCAATGTTGCCCACTCCTGAAATATCTTAGCTACACCACACTTATCCATGATGATAAACAGTGCAGAGATATGTTGTAAGCAGGTGGACTACACAATACTGAATTACTGGAGAAGATAGAACTTAGTGTCAAGCTTGATCTGATATTTTGGTGGTAATATCTGCAAGTGATAATATTAAATGCGTGTGACCTTGCCCGCATTGGCAACAACCAGATCTAAATGAGGATATAGCCTTCCTTCTAGTATTGTCAGCTATAGGCACCACTGTATGGTTTTTGTAATGGTTAACCTACTTTCTCAATACCAAAATTCAGATATAGAAATAGGATATTAATATTCTCTAAGCATTCTGGTTCTGTCTTGAGCTTGGGTAAAAGGATAAATCTCACAGAATAAGTCAAGTAGTTAGGAGACTGTTTATAGCAACAGTTACTTAGGTGGAAACCTCAGTGCAGGAATTAATGGCAGAAACTGTAGGCTATATCCCAGAGGGCAATTTAGCAGCATTCACTGAGTAATTCAAAGCTGTTATTTTTTTGTTCAAAAAGTGCTTTGACTAATGTCTGCATGTGTCTGCACACATAACTTTCTAACTGTCAGCTGTACAAATGTGCATTTAAATAACTCCCCTTTCCCCCGGTGGGAAAAACTGGAATGAGAGTTGGCCCAGGTGTTTGCCTAGCTGTGCCAAAAGCAGGAACAAATCAGCCCTGTCAACTATTGGTGGAAGTATGTATAAGGAAGATGAACCCATGAGATGTAGTGCCTAAACATGTTTGCCTGGTGTTTAACAAAACGCTCCTCAGTGGCTGGTAAAAATTAAATGTAAAAACATTTGTTGTTTCAAATATAATTTTTAGAGAATATGTCAGCTCCTCTACAGTGAGCTCTGAAAATCTAGGCTAGGATGAAAAGAATGAGATCGCCTATTCCTTAGTTGAAGAATAAAGTATGAAGTTTCATGACCTTGAGAAAGAGGGTCATTGTTACAGAAACTTAATACAACTTTACTATTTGCTTATATTGCCTTTGTGTGTGTGTGCGCGTATGCCCGCTCACACGTGCATGAAAGAGAGAAAGAACGATATACTGATTTGATTGACAATATGTTTGGGGCACATTAGAGTGTTTTTCATATGATGAGCTGACACTATCTCAGAAAATGATTACAGCTTAAATGACATCAAGAAAACATTCAGCAACTTCATACAAATTAACCCAGTTGCTCACAATCAATACTGAAAACTAAATGAGGTTTCCATACTCAAAGGTGATGTAAAGTTGAATAGCGCATGCTGTTGTTATTTATTTATTTTTTTGGTAATAATTTTATTAAAGTTTGCAGATACAAAGATGAAAGACTAATACAAACTAAGAGGAGTATAAAAAGTAAAGAAAAATGTACGAAGAGAAAGAAAAAAGAAAAGGAAAAAGGAAAAGAAATAAGAAAAGAAATATAAAAAAAGACTTCCCCCTCCAGACAAGTATAAACAACTTCAGTAACTTAACACTTTCTCTAGTATTTCAATAATAATAATAATAAAAAAACTCATCTTCCCATATCTCATCTCTTATCAATAAACAAATTGTAAAACTCATCATTCAGTCCTATTCAGCAAAAGTCCATTAAGAGCTACCAGAAATAACATACATATTTTAACCTTAATCAAATAAATCCATTTTGTATTCCAACTTAGCACTTTCTCTGAGGAATAAAGCAAAAGAAATCTCTCCCCTTTTATAAACAAATCTTCAAAGCCTCGTCATTCAGTCTTGGTAAAAAAAAAAAAAAAATCCATTAATAGCTACCAAAAACCACAACATATATATTTTAACCCTAAACAAATAAATTCACTTTATAGTCCTTCCATTTACTTTTAAAAAGCTTGCTCTTTAATCCCATCAAATAATATCCCACAAATTGATTTTTTATCATTTTCTCTTTGTCTCCTCTCAGAAACCACTTCAGTAGTTTAACACGTCCCTTTTGAAGGCCAAGATAAGAAGTCTATCCAATTCAGTCTTCTGATTTATTATTTGTATGTCCCCTTTAGTTATTAAAACATCAGCCAGTTTCATTTGTAAATCCATTGTGGTATCTTTTTCCATATCACTCTTATAATCTGTCATTTTTAAACCTGTTTTCAAATCCACATCATCTTCTTCCATATCACTCTTGTAGTCTGGCGTTTTTTTAGAATCTGTTTTCAAATCCACATTCAAGTCAGCCTCAGTCTCTATTTTATCCAGTAGAATTTGTTCCTCTTTTGTAGCCTCTGTTAAATCCATTTTTATAACGGCAGACAATCTTGAAAGTAATTTCTGAGTACATTGTTCCCAGACAGCCTTAATTTCTTCTTTAGTCAGATAATATTGCTCCATTATATTAATAGGTCTCTTATCCTTTAATTGTTAACCTTAGTTCTCTCTGGTTCTCTCTAGCCAACCTTCAAAGTCCCCTCTTATCATATGTTTATTTTCCAATCAGCAAAACTTTCCCATGGGAGGATTTCTTACAGTTGATTTCATATATACTTTCATAAAATTTTAACCCACAGGAAATATTCTTTCATCTGGCCCCTTAACTTTCCAAAATCAACATTCTAGTCCCTCTTTTGCTGTTTTCCAAAAATTAAAATTTTTCTTTTTAATTCTTAAACTTCTTACATCCAAGGTAGAAGGAATCTCTCCTGGTGTAGTAAAACCCACAGGAAATATTCTTTCATCTGGCCCCTTAACTTTCCAAAATCAACATTCTAGTCCCTCTTTTGCTGTTTTCCAAAAATTAAAATTTTTCTTTTTAATTCTTAAACTTCTTACATCCAAGGTAGAAGGAATCTCTCCTGGTGTAGTAAAACTTGCCCTTCAGAAGGTTCTTAACATCCAAAAGATAAATAAGAAACAATTTCCTAAAGTGTTGAGAGGAAGTGGGCGAACTCAGTGTCCGTTTGAAGGCACCGAGCCATGGCTTAGGCAAGATGATTTCCCCCTGGCTCCCAGAGCTCTCAAACCTGCCAGAGATCACCATTTTTCAGCCTCTTCGTGGGCGAGCTCTGTATGGAGCAAACTTGTGGGTGATCCTAGTCCTCTCCTTGGTGTGGAGAGGGGTTCCAAGGAGACAATCCATTCCCCAGCTCCTCTTTCTGCTGCGGCTGTTGGCTCCGCTCTCGCAGAGCCATCTTCAATCTGCCATTGTTTCTCCAGAAGTCCTTATTTTTCTTCACAAATTATGTAAAGGTATAAATAGCAGGTCACTTTAGGTACACATTTACTTCTATTCAGCTTCCCTGCCAGGTCTAAACTGTCATAAATTGAAACATTAAATTCTTATGTAAAGCTTTTCTGACAATATTGCTTAAATTGTTAGTTTCTTGTTTTAGCCATTGGCCATAATGGAAATAACATATCAAGCTTAACAACTAGAAAATAATAGTACAGATAATAACAGAGGAAAAGCATGGAAAAGTTGCCTAAAGAAACATACTGCACAAGAGAAGTTCAGCTGAGATTCTGTTAGTTCTCCCAGCAACCACCACAATCATAATCTATGACATATGAATTAGGATTGTTATGCAGTTACTCTGCAGCTTCTAACTAGAAGATAGACAATCTGTTTTTGGCTGGCTGTGATACTGATTCACATTTGTTACTTTTCAGTAACAGTTAAATGTTGCTGTTTTAGTCATTGTCATAGATGATATACCTGGGTACACATATTGTTTTAAACCATGATTTCTATTCACCATGGTTTGTTGGATAAGACTCAGTGGCTAATTTCACATCTCACTAAGACATAAACTACGAACGGACAATCCAACGCCTGCAAAGCCTCCCTTTCATCACCAGTAGACTTAGAGCATCTCAAATAATGGGGGGGGGGGGGGGGGCTAAAAATCAGGAAAAATACTCAATTGGCCATGTTGTTTGGGGGCTGATGTACATAGCTGAAGAGTTTGGGCTGAAGCAAGAAGAGATTGGGAAAGACTTGACTAGATAGATGCTTGGTATAATCCAGGAAAGTGACTGATAATGTTAAGAACTCATTAGAGAATATTTGCCTACATTGTTGTTTGGGCAATCTAAACAGTTTGTTTAATGATTCAGCACCAACAGTGTGCTTGCTCTCTGGCAGCTATATTTAAACCTGCTTGTCTCAGTATGATGCTGAATAAAAGATGCAAGAGACTTCCACGTAGATAAAGGATGCTCTGAGATAAGAGTTTTATCCCTTAAAGTTTCCTAATGATGTTATACCATTGTATTTATTAAAATAATTACTCTAACCAATAACAAACATTCTCCAGGTAATTTGAACAGAAGGTAAACATGCAATAACTCAAAGTCTGTAGGAAAGAAAATATAACATTTAAAAAAGAAGATTTTAAATTATTTCAAAAGCCAGGGATCTAAGCACTAAAATGCACGGGCAATTGTCTCTGGTGTTGCAATACAGCAATCTGAACCAGTTAAGTCTCTCAGGATAGACAGGGAGACACAGCTGAGAAAGTCCTTCTTGTCACTGAACTATGAAAGCTCCCAGTTGGTAACCCTGCAGCTTTGTTTTGAACTAATGGAAGTTCTTGAGCAATTTTCAAAGGGAGTCCCACATACATCACATTGCTGTGATTTGTTCACCAGAATAAGGAGGTATAGTGACAGACTTTCTCTGGCATAGAAAATGTTGTAGTTATATCAGCTTGAACTGATAAAATGTACTTCTGGCCACCAAGGCTGCTTACATTTCAAGTGACAATTAATAGATCCAAGAACAGAGCAAAATGCATATTTGACCCTTCAGGGTGAATGCAGTGCCCATTAGAACAGAATAAATACATTTTCCCTTGGCAGACCAAACACACTAGCAACTTCCACTTTGACTGGATGGAGTTCCAATTTTACTCACTTTCAGTCAGCTTATTACAGTGATCATAGTGCAGATTAATGATACAGGTAAATATAAAGCTCATAGCTGAAAGGAGGATTACCTGCTTTGCATGTACTAGATCTCAGGCACAGTCTATGTTATCTCTTGTTAAGGAATCTTCTATAGCAGTGCTGGAGAAGAACTCCTAAGCTTGTAGGATCATTGGCAGTCAACCTTAAGTGTCATGGGTCATGGACCAAATTTGGAAGGAACTGATTCTTAAATCCTAGATTTACTTATTTGTGTCTGTGTGTCTGTGTGTGTCTATGTTAAAGAATATAGAGAATTGCTTTCTACTTTTATTATTTTTAATGACAATTGCAGTCAGTGCTCTAGCTGCCTGGGAGAGGAATCCTGGAGCTGCTGTTTTCTAACAACGAAGCAGCAGGAGAGACTTCTGTCCTGATCAAGTAGGATAAAAATTCAGACATTGATTCAGAACTATATGTGGTAGTATTAACTCATTCAGTGGTAAAAGATTTTGTTTTGTTTTTTCCCCATATAGCTGCTACCATGTAATGGCTCATAAAATGGAGAAATAGCTTGGGGAGATAGATTGAACAGAATGGGTGTTCTGTTAATGTAGTTCCTTCCTCTGATTGAGCTGGCAGAGATGGTCTCTGAGCTGAGGTTGGCAGGCCTCTTCTCTCATCTTCACTTGATAAGCCAACTGAAGCCTTTAAATAAACTTAAATCTGTGATACAGACACTGGTAGCCTTCAAAGTTTGACTACCATAACATGTACAGTGGGCTCCTTTTGTGTCTAGTCTAGCAACCTTATTTGGTGCAAAATTCAGGAGCCAGCTGGCTCAGTTAATTGCTTCTAAAGACCTATACAGCTGGGCCCAGGTTATTTGTAAACATGCCTCTTTCTATCTGTTTCTGTCTGCTTAGGGAGATCACCTGGGGAGGTTTATCTACAATTGCCAAGGGCTTGTCTCACAGTGTCTTCAAGACTGACTCTGTTAACTGCCTCCATTCTTTGAAATGCCTATTGCGGAGTTATGGCCTAATTTGTTTCTTGGCATTCATAAAGATCTAAAAACAGACCTTTTTAAAAACAAGCTTTTAATTGTTTATTTTAATTTTTTAAATTATCTTGAATCTCTAGTTTAAGTGTTCATTTCCTGTCTTACTGCAGACCATCAAGAGACTTCAGTAGTCAGCTGTAGAATAAGTTTAATATAATTAAATAGCAACACACATTTATGTAATGCCTTAGAGAATTCATAGAATCCTGTATCTACTATTACTTTAGCTAGAATTTAAGAAGAACCCTGCAGGACAAGTTTAAAGGTTCATACAATCTATCATCCTGTTTCCTACCTTGGCCTTCCTATAGGAAGCTTGCAAGTAGTTTTTGATGACAGCAACCATTTCCTTCCTTTGGGCAGGTCCTCAGAAACTGGCGATATATGCATCTAAACATGAAGACATAGGGTAGAGTTATGAAATAGTATAACAACGCTGCAAGATAAGGCCAAGTTTGTTGTCCTTATGATGCACATGGGGGAAATGGGAGCTGAGATTTAACTAAAGCATTACACAAACTTTGGCAGAACTGTATGAATACTGAGCAACTATTATTTGCATATCATAACCAGTTTTCTTGAAATGATTAAAGAAGGTGCAGAAGGAGAGAAGAACCTAATCGGAGAGTCAGTTTCCTTTCATAACTGCGTTTTCTGTCCTGCAGCTCTGGACATGGCTGGAAGAGCTGCAGAAAGAATTGCTGGATGATGTCTATGCTGAATCTGTGGAGGCTGTGCAGGAGCTGATCAAAAGGTTTGGCCAGCAGCAGCAAACTACTCTGCAAGTTACAGTGAATGTTATCAAGGAAGGCGAGGATCTAATACAGCAGCTGAGGTAGGATCTGGCCTTCTGTGGAAATGCCAAGTTTGCATCAAGTCCTCTTCCTTTCTTTCCAGACCTACTGCACTTTTCAGGTTAAGAATTTTTCTGCCCCTTTTCTCCCTCATTGCTGGGAGAGGCAAGGAAGATACCACAGCACAGATATACTACACTCTGCAGAAAGGGAGGATTTCACATTGAAATAGTCTGAACCCATGTTCTTTGTAAGCTATAATTCCAGCCTAATTCTTAGTAAAGAAGAATGCAGTTTAGCTAATTGTTAATTATAAGGCAGTTTGTGTACTCAGTGTTGCTAACTCAAAGCAATGTGTTGGTGAAAGAACATAATTTCTGACATGTGTTACCAAAGACTGAAGAGATTGGCCTCTATACACATGCTTATATTTCATGGTCTCTTTTTATATCCGTATTTTCTGCGTTTTATAGGGATTCGGCCATCTCCAGCAACAAGACTCCTCATAACAGCTCCATCAATCACATTGAGACAGTCCTTCAGCAGCTGGATGAGGCCCAATCCCAGATGGAGGAACTCTTCCAGGAGCGCAAAATAAAGCTGGAGCTCTTCTTGCAGTTGCGGATATTCGAGAGAGATGCCATTGATGTGAGTCTCTAGTTCATACTGCAGCGTATTTAATATTTCCTTTTTCTCACTAGAGGCTTGGGCTGGATTGAAAACAGGAGTTTCACTTCAGGAACAAAACTGTGATGGCATTTGTTTTCCACAAATGATTCAGTTTCCTTTAAATCTCCCAAAGGGAGTAAGTCAAGGTGCTTGCCGATAATAACGTAAATAGTTTTGGCCCCCAAAAGTTTGCCTGGTTCTGTTGGCTCATGTAATAATGAGGATGCTGTTGGAGTAAGTGAATAACTGTAGCTCTTGTAGATAGATAGATAGATAGATAGATAGATAGATAGATAGATAGATAGATAGATAGATAGATAGATAGAACAAATATTTTTATAGAATTCCTCCTAAGGTTTGTGGAGCTTCTGATTTTTTTATATATATTTTAATTTTAGATACTTCAATGAATATTAATGATCCTTGCTTTTAAAACTTATTTTAATTTTTTAAATTAT